ACAGGAAAAGGAATTGTCCCTCTTCTGCATGCCAAAGAGTTGTGCAGCTGCTAGGTCAGTCTTCCTGTGCACAAAGGAGGAAGAAAAAGTAACTCATACTAAATATTTAAGTTTGTGCTTTGGAGTTAATGAGTAAGTTGGAAATAGATAATAGTTTGAAACCATCAGCTTCTATTCTTTTAACCTTCAGTGGTACTATGTTAGCTGTTGACTTATCTAGTGCAGGGTGATGCATCTGTAGCACTCCTGTATCTGTCCTGAATTATTTGCTTTTGTTTATTTTGTTAACATTTCCTTTAAGCCACTGCTGTAGAGTTTAACTGAAAGTCCGTTTTCATTTGGTGGCTATGTTGTGACTCTTGTGACGGCGCTCTGCTTCTGGAGCATTTTTGTAGCATCAGGGACCAGGAAGGGGTCAGATCAAGGAGCTTTACTGAGCACCTGCTAACATGGGAAAGCTTTAGTGCGTCTGTGTGTGTAAAGCAAATATGATGTCAAGTCTGTGATCAATGGTGAGAAAGGAGTATTCCAGATGAGAGAAGGACTTTTCTGAGGAGAAAATGATCCATAATACCAGAAGTGACACTTCAGCTCTCTTAAAGTAACAGAAAATGGGATAACTGGTGACTTGACATGATTTTTCTAGCAGTTGCTTTGCTCATCAGATATTAGACAGATGGAGGGAAGGACTGGCAAAATGTGTTTCTGAGGAGCCGTTTCACACCCCGGCGAAGCCCAGCCTCTCTGCAAACTGATCCCCTGGTACCTGCCGTAGGTTATCTCCAAGTATGCTGCATTCCAGAAATAGCAGTAAGACTACGAAGTGCTGCCTGCTGTCTGTGATCCCAAAAAGTTTCTGTTTATCTTTCGATAAAGAGGAGTTACCATGTGAATGATTAATTAGAAATTCCCTTTATAATTCGAATTGCAGCATTTGGAGTGGCGACTGCATGGTAGGGTGCCTTTGTTTAACGGTCTGCATTCTGCAGATGTTGTTTTGGAGTATGGGTTCCAAGTCTTGCCAACTAACTCTTTTCTTTATTTGTACTGAGTGCATTTGAAGTTGCATCATTTCCTCGGTAAGAACAGTTTTATTTTTGACTGGAGTGTTTGTCAGGTGGGAGAAATCCTAAATGTGAGTGCTCTCTGGTGGCGAAGATTTCTGCTTTGGTTTTCTGATTTCTGCAGTGTATTTTCCAATGGCAATTGGATGTGAACATAGGATGTCTGGACTTAAGGATTATTTTTTTTTCAACTCCCTAAAAATAAAACCTACAAAACAGAGTAAGAGCCTTTTTCTTGCCTTGGCAGTCTTCTTTCCCAGACAATAATTTCTATCCCTTTAAATGATTTATATTCTGTGACCTGCTGGTTTATATTTTCTCACTATCAATTGATATTTTAACAAGGTAATAAAAGCTAGTATAAAAACTTCTCATGAAAGAGCTGGTGTTCTTCATCAAAATAACACACAAGGATTAAATACCATGACTTTCTTTTTGGCTGCTGAACTAGATTTCAGATGCCAGAGTAATAAGTGGAAAATTCAGAAGACAGTGATACAGAAATTATTCAAATAGCATCAATATGGGGGAAATCTTTTCTCCTCCAAGTAGCAGCACAAGATGATGTGATTTTCATGGTACGTACAAACTGCAGTTTGACTGGGGGGGGTGTCAACCCCCTGGATTAGGTACAGGTGTTACTTTTATCAAGTGTGCTCTAGATTGCTTTTAATAAAAAAAAAATCCACTCCTATGTGTTACACACTCTGTACTGAAACGATTACACTGTGCTTTATGTTGACAAGCTTTCCCTTGATGGGGTGCAATGCCCCAACTGATGAGCCTTTCCAAATAGCTTCATTGTCTGTTTTTGTGACCTTGCCTTGCAGAAGAATAGTGAATTTAACAGGGCTTGTACCTCCCAGTTTGGACTGCTGTCGTTGGTTGTTTTCTTAAGTTTTCATGAGTTCTTCTTGGGCAAGGAAAACCACGACTCTCACACCGAAGCAATGCAGCTAGGAAAACAGCCGCTGCTGTTCTTGGCCTGCTGCTGTGCTGAGCTGCGCTGGGGGATGAAAAGAGGCTTTATCAGCAAGGAGGGGTGAGGAGCGACAGCTTCTTTTAGGCACATCTAAGCACAGCTCTGGAATTTTAACTCTGGTGCTAAGAAGAAGAAAAAAGTCAACAGAGAGGTAAATGGAGATGTCAGTTGTTCATAAACTCCATATCGTAAAGCCAAGCTTGAGAGATGCCCATTTGTCAAGCCTGGAGATGAATCCTTCTCCCCCATCTCCAGCTGCCTTTTGCCACAGAGATTGACGACACAACTCATCAGAGTCCAGTAAAACTTCTAAAAACCTGCTTCTGAGGCCAAATGTGAGATCTGTCGTCTAATCCCAGAGCTGTGGGGGAAGCAAGCAGGCGGCACATCCAGCTGCTCAGTGTGGGTGTCGCAGCTGTAACACCTCCAGGGCTGAGCTGGGCCCTCTCGAGGGGCTCCTGGCGCGCTGGGCGCTGCGGTGGGGCCGGCTGGCACAGGCAAATCTGTAGGTTCTGCTTATGAGGCAGCTGAGGACACTTGGCTGTCAAGGGAGGAAACTTAAACTCTGTTCTGCCACTGAAAGTTTACATAATTCATTACTTAAGGAAGAGGTCAAAGTATTGGGTACTGTGATGGTGACTTGGCACGACGCTTCAGTAGGGATGTCCTTTTTTTTTTTTTCCTTCTCAGCAGCTAAAACAAACCCCGTTAACCTCTCTCTGCTGACCAGGAACCCTCCAGCCATGCATCTGGCATTACGGTGGGGTTAAAACCTCATCCAGAAGCTGCTGTATTTTTAGTTTTATCCTTAATAGTGTCTTCAGTGGTGGTTATGCACCTGCTGGGCAGTGGCTTTTGAAGTGCAGTCTATAGGTTCTCCGTTGGGCAACTTGCCTTTTTTGGATGGCCCATCTCCAAAAAGGTGGGAAGGATTCGGCTGGTTTTGATGTGCTTATAATGGGTTCCATTACTTATGCATGTCCCAGTGTGATTTGATCTCCTTAATAGAAACAGTGCTGTGTGTGCTTGGTTTTTCTTAGGCTCTCCTATGTATATGTAGAGTCCCTCATGTGCTCCTGAGAGGGCAGAAGATGAGCAGCCTGGTATCCGATCTCTTTGCACCCACGTGTGTCTTCTGCCTGTTTGGTATCTTCCAAATACCATGATTCCCAGCTGCTTTGTGCTTCAGAGAATTAAAATAAGGATGGCAAATGGCAAGGACTGAGTGCGTGAGGCTTCCTGTGTACCTAAAACTCTGTCTTAAGAGTTAGGCTGTGATTCTGTATTTCATACCGGGCTTGTGTGCCAGCTGCATAGTGTTGTTGCCTATGCATTACCCATAATTATTGTTGTGATAGTTAGCCACTGAGCTGAGGTTGATATTGCTAATTATAACGACCTTATCTTTTCTAAAACATTTCTGTTAGCTTTCAAGCATCATATATCTCTAAAATATAAAATATCTTTGTATTTTAAGCTCGTTAATGTTTTGGGAAGTGCATATCAAGAAGACCTTCAGTTAAAACAATGCAGGAACAAAAAGATATTTTGCAATTCTTGTGTCTTTTTAAGTGAGGTATTTCTGGAGGAAGCTGGAATTAGAGGCAAAATCACTTTTAAAAAGTGGAATGCTGGTTGCTAGATAATATTTATTGAGTTTTATTACACCTGCTAAAAACTAACACTGCCAAGATGCTGCAGAAAATTCTCAAATGAACAATAGAAAATGTCAAGCCTGTCACCACATGGGGGTGGTAATAAATTCAATAAAGTAATGCTAGAATTTGTGCCCGAGTCCATCAAGGATTAGGAAGGCCCTTGTGTTCTGTAGAGGTGTTATGGTGCCATCTAATGTTGTAAGATTTAAATACAGGGTGCAGACAGGTATTTAATGATTTAATGGTAGAAATGCTGTAATTTGCATGTCAATCTCTAAATCTGCTGTCATCCTTTCTCCTGAGAAGCAAATGCTGTATGAATTCTTCAGCTGTTAATTTGCAATTCCTTCTGTGCTCTTCTGCTAGATAACCTTCACTAAAATGTGAATTTCTTTGGAAACATGTTTTAACTTAAGCACTTAAAAAAAAAAAAAAAATTAAAAAATTGTTTTCTGTCTTGCTTGCAGAAAGCATACTAAGGACCAGGCAGGCTTTAAGAAAGGTGTCCTTTAGGGTTATTTTCACACGTTCTTAAAAAGCTTTCACTTCTGCTTTAGCAGCAGTGCTGATACCAAAGTGCCTTCCAACAAAAAGTGTGGAGAGGAAGCTAATTGCTAGAGCTAAAAGGCTGTAATTTGCTTCTTGGCTTGTGTTTTTGTTTACTTTTTTGTAAATGTTGTTTGACCTCTAAGTGGCTTTAAAACTTGTGCTTCTCTGGCCTGAGCTGGGTTATGGGCAACTGTAGAATGTGGAAGAAGAATCTCCCTTTAAGTCCCTTTTATGAGGCAGATTATATAAGTGCATCATAAACTCATGTTTACTTATTGTCAATTGTAGAAACAGTAAATTATATTAACTGAAATCTTGCTAAAGAATTTCTTAGAAACGTTTGTTTCTGGCAGTGTGCTAATGGCAACAGAAATACCTCAATGTGCAGAAAGCTGGTTTGATAGCATCAGCAAAGCAGGAGTTTGCTATACTCAGAAATACAGTTGGTTTTTGTACCTCAGTAATCTGATCAGTCAATGAAATAGCAGTAGAAATTTCCGTTGTGGGCTGTAAGATTCAGCGCTAGCCCTAATTCTCAGTCCTTGTAGCATCAGGTCTCTGTGTAATATGCTAACGTGCCACCTGGGCCACACTGGTGAGATAACGCCCATAGTTAATATTTTAGTACAAAGTTTCAGTACAATGGTGTATTGAAAAATTCACCGGATGAAATGGTTTTTGGAAGACATATTCTGAATCTCTATGTTTGAATAATTCCCTTTCTTCCTTTTGTCTCATCCCGGGTAGGTTTGAAAAAGGACGGATTTATACATTTATTGGGGAGGTGGTTGTTTCCATGAATCCGTACAAAAACTTGAACATCTATGGGCGTGACATGATTGAGCAGTACAAAGGAAGGGAATTGTACGAGAGGCCTCCTCACCTCTTTGCCATTGCTGATGCCGCTTACAAAGCAATGAAGAGGCGATCAAAAGACACCTGTATTGTAATATCAGGTAAGCTGAAAGAGCTTTTCATGATAACGAACACTTGATCTTTGTGAAGAGAATGAAGAATGATTTGGCTAATGACAGCATTTTATAAAAGAAAACTTCATTAATCTTAAAACTGTTTATTTACATTTGAATCTGTGTGCAGAGACCTTGGCAATTATTTTTTATCTAATTCAAGAGCTGGTGTCAGTCATTAGCTTAATCTGTGTGTGCAAAGTGGTAATTTAAACGAGTCCTCTGCTTGCTCTGCCTCTGTGAATGGAGATCAGTGAGAACAGGGGTCCTGTCTCTCCTTGGAGAACTGCTGATTTTTGTCCCTTAGATGACTGGCCCATGTTTTGTTCTCTGTTCGATGGCCGGGCTGATTGCTTGTGGTGGCTCTAACAGTGGGAGCGGGGCTTGTACCATGAACGGTCGCTATCTGGATCCTGGCACTTTGTTTCCTTGATGTTCCCGTGCTTTAGCAGCTCTGAAAAGCGAGAGACCCGAGCTGGTGTGCCGAACAGTAGCCTCTTGTACTGCAGTTCCCGGCACTGCTGCTAGCCGAGCCTCTGCATGCCAGTCTTTCTCCTCTAACAATATTCCTTTTGATCCTCTGTGTGCCAGGCCTTTTACCGACCTGTGAAATCGTACATCATAACTGCTTCCAAGTCAGCACAGCAGCCACAACCAGGCAGGGTTATGGCTGTCTTAAGAAAATGTTCAAAGTGCATGCAAATAAAATTGCTTTAAAAAAAAACCCAAAACCAACAAAACAACAGTAACAAAACCCCCAAACATTATTGGGGTAGAATTAAGAGAGGCTGTTCAGTGATTTGTTTTGCTTTTTTGTATCTCTTGTGTCACCTTTGTATTATGCTCTCAGGTGAAAGCGGGGCTGGGAAAACTGAGGCCAGTAAATATATTATGCAGTACATAGCAGCCATTACCAACCCCGGACAGAGGGCTGAGGTGGAAAGGTAAGGGCTCTGCAGAAAAATAAGTGAAACTGTTTTGTTTATGGATCTCTTTCTGTGAGCTATACACACCATGTTATTCGATGATCTCTTGTACTAATTACATGCTGATTTTTGCAGCATTTGCCTAACTTCTTCAGATACTGCTTTTATTCTGGGAATTTTGCAATATTGAGTGGTAAAATCATGTAGAAAAGGGATTTTTTTATTTATATTTGAACTTTCAAAATAAAAACAGTATCTAGAAATCATGTTTCCTGTGGCATATTGCCTGAAATGTGTGTATGTTAGAATAGCATGTTCTATGCAAGGAGCATACTCCATGACCTTTCAGGCTTGCATATTCCTGAATTGCAAAATGTTCCTGTCAGTCCTAGAGAAGTTTTCAAACGGAGAATGTGGTTTTCTGCTGAAACAGACTTAATACCTACCCTGACAAAAATTTTGAAAATGTCTTGCAAAATTGTTCAAGAAATTGGGTTCAAAACTTACATGTGTAAAGGAACTGAAGTTTTGATGCTATTTGCAGTGGGTGATCTGTTCTTTGGTTTGCGTTTGCTCAACTCCAAGGAACGTTGCCGAAAGCTCCCAGCTGATTTCCCGTGGGATTGCTAATGTCCCACACATCTGCCCAAATATGTCATCAAAGAGCATCACTGCTGTTACTAAATTCTTCCAGAGAAATAAACGCCTGCAAAAAAATTTCCATGGTCTGAGTATACAAGTCTGGACTTAACTCTGTTTTCTTTTCTTTTTATTTGTACTACAGAGTGAAGAACATACTGCTGAAATCCAACTGTGTGTTAGAGGCCTTTGGCAATGCCAAAACAAACCGTAATGACAATTCCAGCAGGTTTGGAAAATATATGGATATCAACTTTGATTTTAAAGGAGACCCAATAGGTGGGCATATCAATAATTACCTATTAGAAAAGGTAAGCCACGGTCACTTTTAGAGTTAGAGGCTTCTCTGTGGTTACTTTTGCAATATGTGCCTTTCCATTAGAAAGTTTTCCTTTCAAACGTGGTATGTCAACAAGTGCTGTATGAGGCACAGAATCTCATTGAATCTAGCACTTCATTTTTCTCCAAGAGTAAGTATTAAGTAACTGAAATGCTGCTGAAGCACTGGCAGTGCAGTTACTTTAACACCACAGTTTTCAGAGCTCACCACCTAAGGGACTAGTGTTCCTCGAAAGCTTAGGTGCGTATGCGTGCATGTACTTTGTATCCAGAATAAAAGCTGAGGTTAATTTAACCTCTGCAGAACTCCTTTATAAGTTTCCACATTGAGTTCTCACTGGTGGATAAAAGGAGAAGGTATCCAGGTCTGTAAGTAGCAGGGGTATGCTTGAGAAGTGTTTTTCTGGAATAGTGCCACAGCCTCACAGGATCTTTTAGTAACTTTGTTTTTATATACTGCAAGTGATCCTAAGCATATTATTTTTTTTCGTGTCATTAAGTGGTGGCTGAAAACATTGGAATATGTAAAACTCTGTCGATAAACTGGGTATGATCTATTAACAGTTCTTGTTATGTGTGAGACATGTCTGGCTTTAATTTATATGTCCAACCACATCTGCTAACATGCTTTTTTTTGTTTGTGTGTTTTACTTTTCCCTTTATTTCCCCAAAGTCTGTTTTCAGAATAAACACTTTATTTTAAAAAAAACAAAACAACAAACCCAAACATTTAACATGTGATACTTTCATGTAAGAAAGGGGTGGGGCTGCAGCTGATGTGACTTAAATCCTGATGATTTATTTCATGTTCTTGACTTCTGCCAAGTTAGATTTATTTCCATTTTGAAAGCAGTTGAGGCTCTGATCCAAGCACAAGCAGTTAACAGACTCTGTGCTGCAGTAGGAACACATGCCTCCTCACTCTCCAGAGTTCAAACTTGTAGCATCAAATGAGGGTATGTTGTTTGTTGACTGAATTTCTGCTGCATTTAACTTTTTCTTGGTGCTGTTTTACACTGAGTTGGAAGGGGTGCTCTGAAGGGGGAATTATCTCTTGCCCTCGTGTTAGAGCAGAGTGATCACTCGTGCTGTGGCTGGGTGCTGTTGGTCAGCCTGTCCCGGGGTTGTGGGAATGGTTACCAGAAGGCCCTAACTACATCCCACAGAGCACTTGTCTGTAGTCAGAGTCCTGTTTCTCATTTCCAGCAACTCTTAAACTAAAGTGCCGTTGTATTTGACTCTTCCATGGAAGCAATTCTGTAGTTGCCACGTGGGATTCCTGGTTGGAAGTAGGACATTGCAGCTGTTACACAAGCTGGTCTTTTTGATTATAGACTTCAAACTCTGTGGTCATGCTTAGCTAATAATGTTCATGACAGACTTATTGTAAGATAAGATTAGTTTGGAGGTGTCCTAGCAGGAGTGAACTGATGCATCCATGTCTAAGGGGAGGTGCTGGGGTAGCAGGCCATCCATATCCAGAAATACCCATCTCTGTATTTGGTTTCCCCACAGTCTCGTGTGATTGTGCAGCAGCCAGGAGAACGAAGCTTTCATTCTTTTTACCAGGTTCGTATTCATTTGCTGAAACAAATGACTTTTCTCAAGTTTCCCAGACACGATAGGCAAAATATTTAAAGCTTTCACCCTCTTGTGTGTTTTGCAAAGTGCTCCCTTGTTGTTGCATCTTGGGTGATCTTACGTTCTTTAGTTCTTTGAAGAGGCCTAGTCTGAGAAAGGAGCATGGGAAGATTATTTTTTTTTTCTATCCTCCAGTTCCATATTAACACATTTGTAAACTTAAAAGGAGGCTAACTAAACAAATACAGTAGAATATTGGAGTTTGACTCACTGTTTTATTTGTAATAAGTCTAATCCTGCTATTTTCTCTTGAGGCCTGTAGTCCATATGGAAGTGATTTTATGACACCAAGTTGACTTTCTTTTTTTTGTGGGGGTTCTTTTTAATGTCTTCCATATTGTATGGTGGTTCCTTTGTGTGTCCTTTGGGGGAGATGGTCGGCCTATTAGTATAACCTTTATTCTCAGTTTTGCAGTGAGGGAAATGTAGGTTTGTTTATTTTTTTTCCCACTTATTCAGTACTCCATGATGGCATGTTAGCACCTTTCTCATGAATGTGTCAGTTCCGCACTGGAAAGTCTCTCTGTGTAGCAGAGAAGGTAAATGTGCTTGCCAAGGCACATCTGTGGCATGTCACAGATGTAAACATGTCTGGTCTGTGAAGAGGTTCAGGCTTGGTTTCTAAGCAGCTGTGTCACTCAAAAGGACAGTCATTTAGGCAACCTCCTTCTGGGGGTCAGAGCCCTACAATGATGCAGACCATGTATTTTGCACATTGTGCTTGTGACTTCAGATACTGTAGCTGATTCTTCTGTAGCAGTAGTTGATATTTTTATGACTTTGCTTGTCAAGCAAATGAGTAAGAAACAGAAATAGGAAGGATTTCATTTTTTTTCCTTCACTGTTTCTTAAAATACTCTTTGTACAGCTCCTCCAGGGTGGTTCTGACCAGATGTTACGTTCTCTACATCTTCAGAAGGATGCATCTGCATACAACTATATCTGTCCTGGAGCACAGCTAAAGGTGAGGGTGTTGTCAGTGAGTCAGAGGTAACTTGTCTTAAAATTATAAATACTTCTTGAAAAAAGTACTGCTGAGCTAGAGAAGCTGGGACCAATATTTACAGGATGAATATGGAAAGGTAACACCAATGTGCTATTTTTAATGGAGTTTCTGGCCCTAGAAGACAAGCATATGTGTACTTGTGCACGCTACATTTGTGTCCACTTATAAAAAGTGATAAAATGTTGTAAGAGAGACATCACCTTTGTTAATACATGCAGACATATATGTTTGACCCGTTACCAGTGACAGACTTGTCATGCTTCATAGCAAGTAACTTAAGCTGCTTGCTGGACCAAAAAGCCATAAGGACTCATTTTTTTACAGTAGAACTATTTAAGTTACTGAAGCATTCATTCTTCATATCTGACTTATCCTCAAGGGGGCCTCTGAGCAGGAAAGAAGGGAACAGACCTATAAAGTTTTTAGAACAAGATCCTGAATGCTTTAAATACGCCGGCGGTTGTCCCTAGTGCTGTCCCTCTGAAACAGAGTCCAGAAAAAAGGCTTCCTGATTTCCTAATTGCTTTCTTGAGATACTCTTTGGCAAACAAACCCACAGACATTCTCAGATGCCTTTATCAGTTTCTCTAGAAATCTGCACTGAGAATAAACCCAGATGACTGTGAGGGGAGGGAGGGAGGCAGAGGTTCATCTTGAGAAGGATGGTGACCAGAAATTCACTGTTGGTGCTATGCAGCTTCTACTCAGAGGGTCTGTGACTACACTACGTGTAACTGTTGTTCTGATTATTTCTTTTTTTATGAAACGCTTCTACTGTTTCACAGTAAATTCCACTGGGAAAGTACTGAACTATTTAATTGTGCTGTGATGGATTTCTGTGTCTCATTGCTGCTAGTATACATGTGTGTGTCCAATGCAGGGTTCAGCATATAAGCATATGGTGTGGCATTAGAATAAGTTGAGAAATCTCAAGGCAATGTCTTGCATCTGAAAAATAGCAAAGTACACCTCTATTTCCCATGGGCTTGCAAAATCTTTACTTTCTCACAGTTGACTTCCATTAGACCGTCATGTCCCAAACATCTCTTTTCCCTCAGTGTTCCATCAGTGACGGTGCAGAGTTCAAAGCAGTAGCTGATGCCATGAAAGTGATAGGCTTCAAGCAAGAGGAGATTCAGACTGTCTACAAAATTGTGGCAGCCATTCTTCACTTGGTAAGCGACCCTCCTGCAGGTATGAGTAGGCTGTTTGTTCTTCAGGAGGAGTTGGGCAGCATACTTGTACTTCCAGCAGCTCGCATTTTCTTGCTGCGGAAGATCTGTTGGCTGGAAAAGCATTTACAGTTAACAACTTCCAGTGGTGAGTGAAATCCCTTGATAAAACAGGACGCTGCAGTAATGATGGAAGATCACATTTATTCCTGCATATCCCAAATCCCAAAACAGACATACCACTAAGTGCTGGGAGCTGTTAAATGTTCTGAACAGGAATGGCTTGGGTTTGGCGGGGGGGGAGGGATCTCTTGCCTCACCATGCTTCTGTCTCCTTGTACCCTCACGCTTGCCACCAGCACTGTGGTTTTGCTGGAGGGATGGTGCTTCACTTCATGGTGGAGGCTTGAGCACAGCTGGATACAGGAGACCTTAATTCTCTCTGTTCTGATGCTAAGGAAATCCTTCCTTCATCTGTGTTCTCCTGGGACTCACAGAGCCTCCTCCCCTGCACAGTGTCCCCGTAGCTCAGCTCTTACATTTCCTTACAGAGAGAGGCACTGCAGGTGGGCAGGGGGAGGACGGCAGAAAAACCCTGCAGCGTTTTTCCAGTTGTTGCTCCTCTTTGGAATAGTTGTGTCCCAGTGCTGGGGAAGGAACTGGAGGCAGAGCAGAGTCAGGCCATGCAGGCAGGATGGGAGACCACCCACTCCGGCAGATTATGCAGTGGTACTGCTACTTAATCCTGGCACAGCAGCTGTTGGGTAACAAATCTGTTGTGGTGGTGTGCTGTCAGTCTGGTCCTGCCAGCCGTGCTGCCTTGCCAGCTTGCCCAGAATACTCATGTTACCTTTGTGGGCAATAACATTTCAGTGGCGAGCTGCAGTGCAGATGAAACATTACATCCAGCATTTTATTCTTAGTGTAATTTCCCATCACTAGACTCTCAATTTTGAGATAGTGTTTGATTAAACCTCTGCAAGTATTTGAGGTCATTTTTTTCCAAAAGCTGAGCTGAACGCTGAGCAGGAATCCTTTTCTTTGAGTCAGGCTTTGCTGCTTCCACTGGTGTTGGAGCTTTGTGGGTGCATGGAGATGCAGGGCCCACCCTTCTCGTGTGTTAGGAGATTCACTGACTTGAATAGCAGGTGCGACATGGGTGGACTTGGGGTGTACCGATTCTTATTAATAAAAGATTGAGAGATTTAGCTTCTTGCTACTTATTGCAGGGGAACTTGAAGTTTTCTGTGGATGGGGATACGCCTGTAATAGAAAACAGCAAGGTTGTGTCGATCATCGCAGATTTACTGTCAACAAAATCTGACATGGTGGAGAAGGCTCTTTTGTTTCGAACTGTAGCTACAGGTCGGGATGTCATTGACAAACAGCATACTGAACAAGAAGCCACCTACGGCAGAGATGCCTTTGCAAAAGTGAGTTTAAATTTCCTTTCTTTGAATCCAGTTTCATAAGTGACCAACATACGCATTTCTTTTGATTTTGCCTTTTGGTTGAGTTGTACTTGGTGCAGCAAAGAATGGTGATGCCTGAGGAAGGCATTCAGTATCGAATTGCCTTCTTAATTGCACATTTTTCAATGCTCGGGTCTCGGTAGGATTCCTGCGTGGATCAATAGGTACAGTGCTTGCTCAGACATGGGAAGTCTGTATTTCGTGTGGATTTCTTTCTGAACGTGTGCACTCCTGTGTTGCATAGGGGGACTGCAGAGCAGCACTGTCCCTGCCTTTCCCTGGCTGGGACACAGCCCACAGAAGAGGGGAGGGAGCCACAGGCCTGGCTTGCTGGCATCTGCAAAAGGAGTGCAGTGTACAGGGCTGAATTTTCTGCGAAATACGATTCTTGACTTCGTTTAGCAGTTAAAGAGTAGAGAGTGGAACTGTAACATCTAGAACTCAGGTTGGAAACCCGAAGTGTTGTCTTTTTTTTGGAAAGGTGGATACTGATGATAGAAGGAGTGGCAATTGTCCTTCCTTTGCTAAGAAATCAAATGATAAGGGAGGAACGGATGAAGTTATGAAGATCCTTGATTATTAACTTGACTTTTTTTCCTGAGATGATATGTTTTCACAGCTTTGTGATACATTTTGAACCTGTAGACTTGGGAGATACCTATGTCTACAGAACACTTTCTTTTTGAAAGGTGAACAGGAGTATTTTACTGCCATTGTGTTCAGTTGTTAGGTTTCTATAGCTGACCTCTCACTTGTTCTTCAATATTGTTAAATTCTCAGGAATGGAAGTTATTAGGCAGCTGAAAAGCAGGCTGAAATCAAATTAGGGGAACTGTTGTACCTAGTGACCTCACTAGGAGTTAGGCTTTGTGTAAATGAGTTTTGGAAGAAAGAAAAAAAAATTTTTTCATAGAATATTTTCTTCATGTCAGTAGCTGTTCACTTTTAGCAGAATGTTATCTGTAGCTTCTGTGTAGTTAGGGCAGCATCTTGAATTAAGCTTTGTAGCACCACGTGTTGCATTTACCAGAAAGAACTGAGACAGATGCAGGCAAAATCCCTCAGTATTTGTTTCCTGGCAGGCTATATATGAGCGCCTCTTTTGTTGGATTGTGACACACATCAATGATGTGATTGAAGTGAAGAATTATGACACTACAATACATGGGAAAAACACAGTCATTGGCGTCCTGGATATCTATGGCTTCGAAATATTTGACAATAACAGGTGAGCCATGTTGCTAAAGCACAGTGCTGTGCCTTCTCCTTTCCCAGAAAACTTATCACCTTTGTTTTCTTGTGTTTTTGCAGTTTTGAGCAGTTTTGCATTAATTACTGCAATGAAAAACTACAGCAGCTCTTTATTCAGCTGGTTCTAAAGCAGGAGCAGGAAGAATACCAGCGAGAGGGAATTCCCTGGAAGCATGTGAGTGATTTGGCAGCGGGGGGAGAGGTCAGGCTGAGGTCAGCGTACCAGCGTAAGTCCCAGATCTAAAGTTGCTCCACATGTACACTCCTGTGGAAGGCGATAGGACATCTGTGTCCATGCCAGCTGTACTGTCAGACTTGCTGTCTGGAAATCAGGCTGTGGAAGAAGCTAACCAGTTCTCTTGCACCATTTCTTTATTTGCCACAGCGTGGGAAAATAAGTGACTCCAGGTCTGTTTTTTAAAATGTGTTGTGGTATCTCTGTGATGCCACACACGTACATCACTGTGTGTTTCTGTTCGAAGTTCTTATGTATTTTGTCTAATAGTAGATACTAAAGTGTAAAAATCTTGAGTTCTCCTGTTCAAATTCCTTTCATAATGCCAAGGACAAGATGCGTAGTTTTCCCTGTGGTGGCGTGCATAGCTGAATTTTGAAAGACATTTTAAAGTGCATTCCATAGCAGTGGATTTTTAGCAGAGATCTTGAGATTTCTGTGGTGTTTGAAAAAATCACCTTCTCTCCTGTTTAGTGGTAGAAGAGTAGCCTGCTTAATTTTGAATTAGTGATCAGCATATTGAAAGCTGATTGCTTCTTCTGTGAATGGTGGGCCCTGTTCTGTCTGTCAGACACATGGTACTGTTCATCAGTGGCCAACAACCTTTTTCACTAGCCAAAGTCACAAATATACCTGTTCTTTGTTTTTTACAGATTGATTACTTCAACAATCAGGTCATTGTCGACCTGGTAGAGCAGCAGCACAAAGGGATCATTGCCATTCTGGATGATGCCTGCATGAATGTTGGAAAAGTTACAGATGAGATGTTCCTCGAGGCTCTTAATAACAAGCTAGGGAAGCATGCTCATTTCTCCAGCAGAAAGGTAATGTGCTCTTCTACCCTCAAAACTTACTTCCTTTCCTGTGTGATACCTAACAATTTTTTAGATGTGATGGAATAAGGAAACAGACTTGAAGGGTGGCTGGGATTGGAATCCTTACCCTCGAGTATGAAATGAAAAGCCTGAGGGCAGCAGCAGCTCCTAACTCCAGAGCAGGCCGTCTGTCTGGGTTTAGGTCGTGCCTCGGGCTGCCCGGTATCCGGCAGAGGGAGCTGAAGTATGTCCAATGTGAGATCAGTTTTATTCCAGGCATAAAAGAACCGTGAGCTCGTGCCTTGACATATCATGATGTCATCTGCAGCCAATCAATGTGCAGTTTCAACCCACATGATGCTCTTCCCAGGCTGCTCTAATACACAGTGACAGTGAAATTATTCACACTTCTGCTTTATTACAGCACTGGGATTTTTTTTTTAAATTTTTTCCCATCGTCATTGGCTACAAAACATGTTCATCTCATATTGCACCTATGATCATCCAGGCTCCTCAACTTGCTTTGTTTTTGATACAGTGTACGAATTAAAAGGCTTTATTTATTCCTCACTTGGCAGCATATTGAAAACATGGTCACCAGCCTGATTAATCTGAGAATCTTTAGCAGCGAGTAATCAAATAACAGCCTTTAATTTATTGATGTGTCTCTACTGAGAAACGTGGTTTGAAATATATCACTCAGTGTTGGTTCCCCCTTCTCCCTCCCACCCCAGTATAATATTTTATGTAGGTCAGAAATACAAAATTAGCATGGTTGTGTAAGATATGTGCTAAAGGCTGCCTCCAGGGAGGCTGAATATAAACAATAGATCTGGATGTGCCTTATTTGGGTAGAGGCTAGGATGAAAATAAAATAACCACTTTTTCTTCCCAGATGTGGCTTTCCTTAAGCGCCCTTTAGCTGCAGCACACCTGACATCTCTGCCACATGCCTCCTGGCTGAGGGAGGGGGTATGAAGAAGCTTGCTTTCCATGTTAACCTAGATTTTACCTGCCTAAGCAGCAGATGCATAGTGTGTTGTGAGTGAACTCACCCGAAAGCAAGTATTTTCATTAACCTAGTCTGGGTTTCTACATTTTAATGCAAATTGCTTCCTTTAGTAGTACTAATGATTGTAAATAGTGAAGCCTGCAGGGATGGAGCCTTAAATCCTCTGCAGTTGGGGTAGTGGGGGAAGAGGTCAAGTTTCTGGAACTGTCTGGTCAATGGATGGAAGCTGGTAGAAGAAGGAGTTCAGTTTCTGTCCTGTCCTTGGTCCTGTGGTTCGATCATGGGGAGAGCAGGCAGTCCTTTGATACAGTGGGGGAAGAGGACTGAATTTCATAAAGTATATGGGAGACTATAAAATGAAAATCTAAAATATTAAAATCTCTTTGAGTCCTTACCTTTAGAAGTCCCTTCACAGGATAGAAAACATTAAAATATATTACCAGTTGCAGCATTCCTCAGTAGGGGGTGGCATTGTCAGAAAACTGCACAGACTAAAAGGGAGACAAGGAATGAATACTGCTACAAATAATGTTTATGGAGGGTATGATATATCTTCCTGTGTTGCTAATTTCTAGTTTAAATCAATATAGCCTTGAAAAAATTGACCCATAAAACTCTCAACATCATAATTATTTAACCCTCTTGCACCTCTGCAGATGTCCCTTACCAGTATCTGATACCTTCCTCTGTCCCACCTAGAACCATGTAGGAAACCTGAGCTTTCTAAGCCAGCCTCTTCTAGCGTGAATTAAAAAAAAGGACTTGATTTCATTTCATAATTTGCTTTTGTAGACTGCACTAGTTCTGTCCAGACACTATAAAGTTCAGCATAGATCGAAGCTGTTCCTAAAGTGTTAAAGTACGTGGGTTGATATGTTATGGGCACAGCTCCCATCTTTCAGCCTGAGTTAATGCTTCGCTGCTCCCCTGTGGAGCATGTTGGACACTGGCTCCGTGTGGATAAGCTCTGAGGGGCTGCTGTGCCCTAAATAGTAGTGTCCTAGTTTGTGTACTGCATGTCTGATCTGCTGCTGTCTGCTTGGTTGTCCTGGTGAAAGCCAAACAAACCAGGAAAAGTACTGACAAACATGTCCACTATGAGTATTTGTGGCAAAATTTTATGTTCCTAGAGCATGGGTTATCCTTCTCTGAGTTGTCTAATGCTAATCTAGATCTGTACAAATGCTGACTGTTCTGATATACTTCTCAACATCACAGGTTCATTTTCTCAGCCTCTATAAGTTCTGATTTTTTTTCAATTGATCTTATGATTTTAAAGGGTCAAGTGAATTAAGTCCATGAATTCCTAAATCTTCATGTAATGGAAAGTTCTCCTAAGTGCCAATCTCAACAAACGGATTGTGAAGGGAGGAGTATGAGAAGGTCCATTCTAGTCCACCCAAGGTAGTATCTTCCAAAACACTAGGCAATAGTGAAGATTCAAGTGACAGAAGAATGTGGGACAAATGCATAATGATGATTTGATACGCTCCCAGTTGCCAGTGATCTGCAGTCCAGGAACCTCCTGAGACAGGGCTGGTGTCCTTAATAGGTTTTTTGTTGGGTTTTGTTTGTTTGTTTGTTTTAATTGACAAAGAATTACACAGCTTAGATACTGATATGAAGAGCTCCTTCCCATTTTCCTCCCTTCTCCCTTTTTCCTTTTAGGTTATACCTGTTGCCTCCTAGTTTTTGAACAGCAAAACATGGTTCACTGTGTCTTCCAATACAACATCTCCATGTTGCTTGCCATCAAATCCTGGCATTTTTTTCTTAACCTGAAGAGCCTCATTTGCCTCTTCCTGCCACAGCAGTCAGTCTGTACTGTTGATCATTTTTGTCCTTCATCAAACCTCTTGCAGTTCTCCTGTGTCCTTTTTGAGATGGAGGGTAGTTAAGATACTTGTCGGATTGGGAATGAGGCCCATCATTTGCTATGAACTTTGTTTTTTCTCTGTGTGTATCACTGTATTTATGTTGAATTTAATTTGCTGCTCTTTGCCATTCCTTCAGACTCTCATGTCTTCCTGCAGTTTTTTGCAGGCAGATGTTGTCTTTACTTCCCTGAATAATTAAGCACCATCAACAAGTCTGATAACCTTCCTATTACTCTCAGACTATAGCTCATTTAAGCTGATATTAACAGTGTAGGCCTCAGCACAGGCCCCCGCAGGACTCCTGTTTCCCATCTTTCCAGCAGTTATCTGTGTGAGGACCCTTTCCCTTATCTTTCGTAGCAGCTTAAATTCTTTGAGTTTTTATTGAGGAACCTTGTGGAAAGGCTCGTAGAAATGTAAGCAGATTATCAACTATATCAATACACTTGCTGTTCTTTTTTAATACTTTCAACTGATTTGCCCAGTAGACAGAAAGTTCACAGAGAGAAACATTCCTTTAAAAACCTAGCATCATGCTAAACCACCTTCCAGTCTCTCCAGCACTGGATGAGTTTTAAGCAAGAACCTTGTGCAGCCAACTGTGTCCTGTCTGTAGCAACAGTTGCTTCATTTTGTTATGTTTTTCCTTGTCATATACATCTTCCATTGACATGTTGGTTTGAGATGTATTTTGGGTGGTTGAAATAGGACTTTATATCCTCCATAGCTCCTTGCTTGTGAACACAGCTGTAAAAAGAAAAATTACTTTGTTTTCTTGGTATGGCCTCATTTCTTCATTTTTTTTTTCCTGTGTTCCTTCTACACTTGGGTCATCGATCAGCTCTGCAGATCCTGGCATGCTTCCTGCTCCTGTTGTGCTGGACGACTTACACCATTGTAACCTTCTATGTACCTTGTTAGTCAAACTTTTTGATTTCCTCCTTGTGATTTTTTTTGAATTTTTTTCTTTTACATCTGTTCTGTCAGTTTGAGCCAATCTATTTTCTACTCTTGGGCACAGGTGAAAGTGTTGTGGAGGATATCTTCTTCCTTCTAATAATCTCTCCTGCCCTGCAGTTTAGCCATGCTAGTTTCCTCTTATTTCTCCAAGACTTTTCGTGGATAGTAGATATTTGCTCATAGCCCTCAGTGTTTTTAAATGGTGTCCATGCTTCTTGCAAAGACTTAATTCATCTAGCTGCCCCTTTTGACTTAAACAACAATCCTCATTTGTTATCTTGTTCGCCTTTTTAATTAAGTGGAGCCTGATGGATTTTTTTGGCTTCTGTTATTCCTGAAGGGATGAGTGTATTATGGTCACTGGTGCTGAATGGCTGCCATGTGGGCACTTGACATCTTCGTTGTGGTGAAGGAATGTCATGGGAGGTCTGAGCTGAGAGCAGAGGGTTGGGGCTATGACCACCCTGGGTGTGATCTGCAGGGGTGGTCGCTGTCTGAGGGGTCTTAAATGATCTTCAGTGGTTTGGGACAGAACAAGCATTGCTGCTCTAACTGTCATGCTTTGATTTCTTCATTTCTTTGCTGAGGAGTGATACTGCAATGGAAAAATTACAAAAGAAGACTTTAAAAAACATGATAAATTAACTCCTAGGTACAACGTTTCTCTACATGCACAAATGTTCTTTTTGCATAATGGTGTTTCTGAGATAGTATCAATTTTTTAATAAAACTGTAGGCTTGTGGTTTAACCCCGGCTGGCAACTAAGCACCACGCAGCTGCTCGCTCGCTTCTCCCTCCCTCCCCTTGGTGGGATTGGGGGAAAAAAGCCAACTTGTGGGTTGAGATAAGAGCAGTTTAAAAACTGAAATAAAATAAAATAATAATAGTAATGAAAAGGAAGATAGCAAAAAGAGGGAAATAAAACCTGAGAAAAGACAAGTGACACTCAATGCAATTGCTTCCCACCTGCTGACTGATGCCTGAGCAGGGATCAGCCCCTCCCAGCCAACTCCCCCCAGTTTCTATACTGGGCGTGATGCCCTGTGGTATGGAGTAGCCCTTGGCTAGTTCAGGTCAGCTCTCCTGGCCACGCTCCCTCCCAGCTTCTCGTGCACCCGCTCGCTGGCAGAGCTCGGGAAACCAGAAAACTGATGATACAAACACTGCTCAGCAACAACTAAATATCCATGTGTTATCAACATTATTTTCACACTAAATCCCAAACACAGCACTGTGCCAGCTACTAGGAAGAAAATTAACTGTGTCCCAGCTGAAACCAGGATAAGGCTCTTGCAACTTGAATTTGTACAGCTACATGTTTTTTATAATCCATTCATGAAAAAATCTTATAAAGCAGTGTTATAACTGGATTTCACATCTACAACACATATATAAAGTGGAATAACTATTGTTTGTGTTTCTATGTCCAATGCATATTGTTCCTCCATGGAACTTTAAAGTCCACAGGTGTTTTAATGTATATGAATTTATTTTAGCTCTGTGCAACTGACAAAACGCTGGAGTTTGACAGAGACTTTCGAATCAAGCACTATGCTGGAGATGTGATGTAAGTTTCTTTCAGAAATAAAGTTACACCTTCTATTTTTGTCTTTTAGCCAACTTTGAATGGGTACAATATTCTGATTTAATGCTGCTTCTGGTATGAACCAGAATAGCTGTCATAGAGAATTACAGAGTGCAGCAGTTGCTTATCAATTAAATCTTATGCTGGTTACTTGTTATACAGAATATGATTTTGTACTTGGAATTGAAATAAAAGGAGAATATGGGGAGGGGGATGAGGGGAGAGCAGTGCTTCAGGGGGAAAAAAAATAGAAAAAAAAAAAGCCATCACTGTTTGTGCAAGAAAGCTCTACTGAGCTAATAAAATCTGGTTTAGACATCTGTTTAGTGTGGTTATATAACTCTGGCTTTAAATTCTCAAATCCGTTTGAGCAGACTCAAAATACAGGGTAACGTTAAACTGAAATAAATATCACTGCAAGGAGCCTTCCCCCATTCAGTTTGAAAAGTCTTCTGTACCTGAAGCCTACAAAAATGGCTACAGTATGTGACAGTAATATGAAGGAAGATTAAATAGAAGTGAAAGATGCCCATATGTTAGAAACTGTTCACTGGGAAGCCTGTTGTCTGGAATATCACTGGAGTGATTTAATGGTTTAGGATTTGTGTAACTTCTCATGCCAGCAGAATCTAAAGGGAGTTCATGAAGAAATAATTTAGGACTTCTTTTACTTTGGGATTAAATTTTCCTTTAATTTATAAGGGTAACCTGTGGGATCATAGCAGAGCTCATTCAGCACAGCTGGATTTTATTCTGGAGTCTTTGCTGAACGATTGCTGATAGACATCTCTGATTTCAAAGCACTTTGCCAAGGAGGAGAAAATACAAGGTGCCCTATTAGTGGCTGAGCCTTCTGCAATGCCAGTGGCTGAAAAATTTTGTAAAAAAAAAAAACAAAACCTCAACCCTGAAATGTGCAAATATTTGCAGATAATATTTGAGCTGAGCTGTGTTATGCGGAGCAGTAAGATCTGGGGGTGGCTCCGTGCAGGGATTTAAGTGTTGTGGGGCTCTGGATCCCAGGGCCTGCAGTTTAGGTGCTGGCTTCCCTGGGGGAGATCTGAAGCTCCAGAAGTAACTGAGTGGGGGTCACTGGATGGGGAGATTTTGGACCTTTTCTTTGAGGACAGAGTGTTGTCTGTCTTGAGTCTTGGAGAAGAGATGAAACTTGGAAACAATAATCTCCGAGTGGTATTTCTGTGAAATGGAGGAAGGAAAGAGAGAGTCCAAAATGTACGTGTGTGTGTGTGTGGATTTCCAAGAGAGTTCCCTAGTCCCTGATTAAGGGCTGCTCTTGATTTCAGGCATTCCCACTAGAGAATCTTCCTTGACACAAGAGAGGGACAGGCTAGACATGCTGGAAAAGAAAACTTCAGTTCAGTAGGATTTAACACAAACGCATGCTCCACATTTGGAGGCAGAAGTCTTGAGTGTGACTCTTGAATGTGGGCCATCTGCAGCTTGCCCAAGACCTGCCAGGTGTCTGAGCCATCTCGCCCTTCACCTGCCTAGGTCAAATCGCTTTCTAAAACTGGGTGTGTGTTGTTGCTGCACTGGAGGTGGAAAGCTGGGCAGAAGGGTCTGAGTCTCACACAGTGCTCATGCAGCAAATTAGTGATAGGTTGGGAAACAGCTGGGCTCCTAATTAGCATCTGCTCTGTCTGTAGGAGTGCAAAGATGCTGATTCCACACTGATATCAGTAGCTTAGAGAAGGACTTTGCTTCTTTGCAAATAACTCTTATTTTTCTTTTTTTTTTTTTAGTTACTCAGTCACTGGATTTATTGACAAAAACAAGGACACTTTATTTCAAGACTTCAAGCGCCTCATGTACAACAGGTAGGAATAAAAATATTAATAAGGTGAATTTAAATCTGATTTATCAGAATCCTTTTTTATGGAGTGGATGCTAGAAGGGACTAATGCTTTCACTGATGCTGTCTTTACTATGTGTGCAGTGCACCTGAATAAACATGTTGCTTTGGGATTTGATCTTTGTATACCTACTGCAACCCAAAGGCTGTTAGTTTCATTTTTCAGGATAAAGTCCTTACTCTGAATACATTGTTTTCATTCTGATAACAAAGGTCATGATCATGTTTTGATCATAAAGGTTCTGATATAACCTTTGCTTTAACTAAATTTAAAGTGTTTATTTGAAACCAACTAATTGTGCAATCAAGATAGCTGTGTGGAGATTACCTGTCATGCTTGATTTGTCCTTAACCAGGTTTTTGGACCAGTTGCAAATGTACTTTTACTGATCTCTCTTTAATCAGTCTAAAGATACTGAGTAGTAGCATTTGGTCAACAACAGATATCACTGGCCCCAGCTACAAGTCCCTGTTTTGAAAGAAAGTATAGAGGTGAGGGGGAAAAATGGGCAAAAAGACTTTTTGTATATGCGGTGACATGAAAAATTCAAACCATGTAGTCAAGTGTTATGAATACTAATTAGGTAAGTAAATGTTGCCTTTGACAAGCAAATTTGAACTCTATCAAAATGGGTGTGTGTATAAGTGCCTCAGCTGTTTTCCTTGGCGGTTGCCATTAAACATTTTCTTTAACTGTGGCCTATCTCAACCTTTCAGAGACTTTGCTCAGAGGTAGAAGTCAGCATAAAACAGCCTGCAGCTGTATGGACAGATCTGTTTACCTGGTTTAAAAGCTAGTGCAACTATTAACTCAGTCTACAGTCCTGTTGTGTGTACTCCCTTGAACAGTCTTGCTGTTCATGTTTTCAAGACCTCACATTAACTAAAAACTGGCAAAATATTTGCTGTGTGGAGGTTTTATTAAATTTGGCCTCCATTTTCTATTAAGTCTCTCATAAAGACTGTTCAAAAGGCCACTTAAGGCACATTAAAGCACGTGATAGATGGGCTGTTAGATTGCTGTAAGGGCTTTCAGCTTTTGTCTGCTCCAGATCTCTTGCCATCCATCATGGCCATTTTACCTCACCTTCAACCCTTCAAGAAAATGCAGGCTAAAATGTGTAAATTATTTTACATACCAAGAATTATACAGAAATACAGCTTGAAAGCACATAGCAAGTTTCAAGGGAGGATGTTGTGGGCTATGGTCTTAACTCTTTTCTGGTTTGATTGTATTCTATATGTTTGTGTCAGTAAAGCAGACTCTGCTTTTGGTAGACCAATTCTGCAAGATTTTCACAATCCCATCACTGCATATCTTTATCAGAAGAGGAGAATGTGCTTGTCATTTTCCCAGAATATTTGGTTGTAAGCTTGAACCATATATTGCTCAAGAACAAGAGAGATTTTGCCCAGGAATGTCATGTTGGTTTGGCTGATACATTTTGAGCTGAAAACACCAGTAGATCTGGATAGAAGCAAGCTGATGAATTTTGAATTTAGTAGAAGGGCTGTTAAACTGTGCAATTAAAGACTTTGTCTTTTAGCTCTAACCCTGTGTTGAAGATGATGTGGCCTGAAGGCAAACTGAGCATCACTGAGGTAACCAAGAGACCTCTGACAGCTGCTACTCTTTTTAAGAACTCCATGATTGCACTAGTGGACAACCTGGCATCGAAGGTAAATATTTCTGTTTCAAAATCGACTCCAACTTCTGATTAGTAGGGTGTAGCTTTTTCACAGACAAATTGCCACCTTCCTGTTGCCTCAGTCAGTTGGAAAGCTGAGCTGAGCAGTGGCAGATGAGCTTTGGTTGTGGCAGTGGGCAGCTGTGAAGATCTTGTAGGAGAGTTACCTGCCATCCTCCCATAAAGAAGGCGCATTTCTGTTTCCTCTGACCAGTGTATCTTTCACTTGTAGGAAAGCCAGTCTCTCTTAGGTAATAATTATTATATCAAATAAATAATCATCTTTAACAAAGCTCTTTTGGCAGAGGGCCCAGAGGATGTAGTTTCACGGTGGAGAGATTCTCTCTTTCTGGCTTTCAATGCTAAGTGACTTCTGTGAAAATACAGGCAGACCTATGTGATTTCCTTCTTTCCTCCTCTTTGCTGTGTCAGAGGGTGTGAAACCTTTTATTTTACTAAATAATTAAGTTTCATAGTAGAAAGTATTGCTTTGGCAACCACCACTTTGTGTGAAGAAAGGTAGGTAAGGGAATGATCTGGGAAAGGGGCTGTTGGAACGTGGTGCAGCCGAGTGGCAGGATGAGGCAAGCACTGTGATCCCTCATGCGAGCAGAGATCACTAAAGAAATATTTGGGTGTTACTGATGCTGGGTGACCTTGCTGGACTCCTGGCATTTTCACAGTGTTGGCATTTTCATAGGGGTACGTGGTCCACGAGAGATGAACGCTGAGTCCAGAGTAGCGGTGTATGTTAACATTTAGAGTAACTAAGCAATAAAGGGCAGTGTTCTGACTATCTTCTCGGGAGTTCTGGTAGCAAAGGAAATGTTAGTGGCCCAAGATGTGGAGGGAGAACATGCACGCAGTTGTGGTAAGTCTAGGAGAAGTTTTGTAGAAAGTTGATCCTTGTTCTCATAAGAAGACCCTGTGAAGAGCAGAACACTATTTGAATTTTTACTTGGAGTGGCAGCCACCTGAGTAGCAAAGTCTTCATAGGTGCTGTATTGGTCAGAGCATGATCGTACAGTGCTGGTTGTGCACAGGAAGAGAAAGCTATCCTCTCTGGGGTCATTACAAGAAATAATATATTGCTTTGTGTTTTCCAGAATTAGAAGATGAAAGCACGCTTGCTTTACATTTCTGAGTTCTAGTTCTGGAGTGGATTTAATCTTCAGCAGTAAATCTGGAGGAGGGTGCACAAGCCTGACCAAAGCCACCTCAATGTGCTATCTGGGCTTCCTGACTGAGGAACAAAGCTCTCCCCAGTACTGTTTGACTAAGGGCTACTAAGAGGATGCCCTTGTTAGCCAAGCTGAAGGTCAGGTCTTGCTTTAGGCAGACACCTTTAGTAGAAATTGAGAGAGGTCCTACCCCCCTGCCCGGAGGATTCCTGGATGGCAAATCATGAGCTGTTGGGGCTGCAAAGGTGACTGTGACCCTGATGGAAGGGAGATGAGGATAGTCCTTAGTCTGACTTTCCAAGGAGTCAAGACTTACCTGATCTGTCGGTTCTCCAAATAACTTGCTGCCCTGCCCTAACCTGCATTTGGTATAGAGGTGTCAAGATCCCAGAGAGGTTTCTCTGTGTGTTGTGAAGCTGAATAGTTGGGGAAGGAGAAAGATTCTGATTGATGCTGCTTGTTGTTAATGCAGTTGTGTCCTACAGAGCAGTCACGTTCTCTTGTGCCTGGCCAAGCGGGTGGGGAATCTGACACACTGCAGTGAGGTGTTTTGAGCAACACAGATAGAAACTGCTGGGGTTGTTGTAGTGGAGGGCTGTGATCAAGGAGGAGAGAGCAGGGAGCTCTTGGTGGGGAGGTTCAACAAGCATTTGTGGAAAAACTTTGTTTGCTTGTTTATTGGAAAAAAATATTTTAGGCCACCTGATATTTGTAAAAATAGAATAGTCAAGAGAATGCCATGAACTGTGGTGGTCTGAACAATTCCTGCAACTCACAGCAGGAGATTACGAGTTTAAATTGCATATTATCCATCTTGAGTCAGTAGGTACCAAAATTCATCATTGAAGTCTAGCTGGCTTGTGTGAAATGAGAGTTTCAGTCCATTTATCATTGGTATCTCTGTCACAAATGCCAGCCTTTTCCAAGGATAGGCCATAACCAGGAACTGTTTCCAGGTCAAATCTGAGCTCGTGAATTCACTAGGAGGTTCCCGTGTGTGTGTCAGTGTAGTCCTTTCCCATTCTTTACCTTCCCTAAACGTCCTTTGAGAAACTTCTATTGAAGATGTTGGGTTTTTCCTTAGTTTCTGTTGAACAGCAATGGAAAAAATTGTCTTAGAGCATTGTATTTCCCAGAGAGTTATGGATTCCATTAGAGGGAAGGCTTTCATTAAACAGGAGTGTTTGTCAGGACTTAACAAGGACTCTTACCAAGCAGGAAGGAGCCAAGGGCTGTCTTGGTTGTGCAGTTTTATGGCCAACCTTTAGCATGATGGAGAGCTGGAATGAAGAGGGTGAAATTCACCCTTTGGTGTCTGCTGTTTAAAAGTTTACGTGGCTAATGAACCTTGGGCAACAGTGTTTATAGGTACTTAAATTTGCAAACCAGGCTACATAGTTGAGCTTTAGCTGTTTTTAATGGAGATTCTGGCTGTTGTACCTCTTAAAAACCCCCAAAATTTGGTGACACCCATCCTGTAGTCAAGCTTATGTTACTTCGAAGGGTTTAAATTTTGGTGTGTCCTCGGTTGCTTAGATAAGGGTCCTGAATACAATCATTGTGTACTTCAAACAGCGAAACTTCTGTTTGGCCATTCTGCCCTGAGCATCAATTGAGGTGACTTTTTGGACATAGTATGTGCATGTTGTTAGCAGGTGAATAACCGGGCATTCAAGCCATGCTTTGCTAGACGCTGCTTACATACAAATAAATGGGCTGCTCTGCCTCTTGAGTCATTGCCAGTTGTCAGCTCTCTTCTGCTGGGGGCTGGAGAGTGGGTGACCAGTTGCTGTTCTCGGGCTGGTAAAACCTCTGTCTCCTTTGGGGACGCCACTCATGGCACTTATGGGTACTGTGATTCTTCCTTGGGTCGTGTTACTCATTCTTCCCGTGCTTAACTTGGGACTGGAGTTGCAGTTCTGGGGATCAACAGTGACAATGTCTGTGTGTCTGACTGCGGTTTGGGCCCTGAAGGACTTTTTTTGGGAAGCCTGTGGTAACAGCTGATGAAAACAGCTCTCTGAAAAGAGCATTGCACAAGCAGTGTTAGCTGCTGTGGTCTACGGGTGTCAGAGGAATAAGGTTCCACAGGGAGAGGTAATAACAGTTCATGTTTTTCCCAGCTGTTTCTCAAAAACCAAGATGAAGATAGGCTTGAATTTTGGTGCAGTTTGAGCTGATGGTTTATTAACATTACCAGAGCGTGCCCAATATAAAGTGCAGTTGGTGCTGCTCTTCTCGTTTTGGCCTCTCATTCCACCTGGGTTGTTCTTGTTGAATGTTTCTCCTTGAACTGCTTTAAACCATATTTATACACTCTGTTTCTACAGTCCTCAAACAGAATGGCAATCCAAGAGCTCTTCTTCATTGATACTCATTCGGCCTTCCCAAAAAGCTGCAGGTTTTTTGGCAGTATCAACAGTATCTTTAATCCTGTCATTTGGGGGAACAGCATCCAAAAATGCTAATTTGGTGGGCAGGAATAATAATATTAGAAACAAAGCTCAAAGTCTGTGAATACAGTACCTACAGCATTAGCTGGTTATTTAACATTTCTGGTATTTAAAATAACCACCTTTAAAATTCTCTTTTGTTGGTATTCTGGTTTAAATCTGGAATTTGTTGATGAAGCAGAGTTCTGTGGTGCCTGAGAGGAAGGGGCAGGTGGTGTGGTTGTTAGGGTGTAAGATGCTTCTGTTTGGGTGAGTAACATAAATAACTGCAGGAGTTATTCACAAATACTGTTTTAACTTCAGCTTGTGTATACACATGTCCATAGAAGTATGAAGAGTAGGAAATATTTTTTTGGAGGGTGCTCAGTTGAAGTGGCACTTACCAGTACTGATGTCTCAATAATAATGTTTTCCTCCAGACTTACACTGAAAGTCTTCTGGGCAGAAACCTCTGGTAGGTAGAAAAAAAAAGTGCTTTTTAAAAAAAATAAACTAACCAAACCAAAAACCAGCTTTGCGGAGTTGCCATGTAACATTTCTCAAGGACATGTTTTACTGTCCATGCTGTTCTCTTGAGGATTAGGTCTTTTCTGTGATGGATTACTTTAGGTGGCTTTTCTTTTAAATACTGACACGGAAAGTCCTTTGGCTGACATGGCTGTAAATGATGAGCTTCTCTAGGAACTCTCTCTGGACATGCATCTTTTTTTTCTGTTTTTCTTTCCTTTTTTTTTGTTCTTCTCCTTGTCTGTAACTCCTTTTGTCTGACTCTTCCTTCTTCCATACCTCTCCTCTCCTATCCAGGCTGACAGCTTCATCTCTAGTAAGTTATAATGTCATCACTGTGACTGATTGGACATATCTAGCACAAATTTGTCAGTCCTGTCCCCTATCACTCTCTCATCTAACGAGCTATAAACTGTGGAAAAGAAATCTCTCAAGGAGGAGCTTGTTTACGGTGCAATGACTTTAAACTGGTTTGTTTTCTTTTTAAGACTTGAAAATCTAAAAATCGCTCAGCTTAATTTTAAAGGGAAAAATCAGTTGCAGTTAGGCATCTAAACAGCTTTTAGAACTGGGGCCTTTGTATCTCTGTATTTCAGTTCTTCCGTTTACAAAATGCAGCTCCCAGGCTTGACAGCCCCATGGTGCAATAATGGGAGCTGCATAATTATCCCCCTGAAGAGCTGAGGCTGGTGGGATTGTAAGCATGGAATAATCTACTTCAGAATTTACCCTAGTAGCTGTCGTTGCTGAGAGGCTTTAATTACAGTGTAATTCACTGATAGATGATCTCCTGTCTGTGCAGGAACTTCCTATTTCTGTTTTCCAAAAGAAACCAGCATCTTGACTTCTGCCTTTTTTATCAAATACAGATACAGTCGCTCCTCTTTGTGATGGGCTTGAAATCACGGATTTTTTGTAGTGTTTTGCCATTTTTGAATGGCAAGGCATGAAGGATGACCCAAGCAGCCAGCTTTGTGGTGGTGAAGGGTGTTTAGGTATTAGCAATAATGAATAGCTGTGGAGTGGACACTGTAACATCAGTAATGAACAAGTGACACCGTTCCCCTTGAGGCAGAGGGGTGGTATGCACTTTCTTCATGCTCCTAATGACTTGTTTAATTTGGTTCCTGTGTTCTCAAGATGTTGCAGTTCTGTGGATGAAACGTAGAATGTTTGTTATATCATAATCTCATCAAAGGTTTTATATTCATCTTGACATCAGATGCAACACAACAGTATTGGGGGCAGATCTGGCGTGGACTGGCATCATTCTGATGTTAGTGACGCTGTCATAGGGCTGTCCTTAAAGGTGACTAACATGTAGATGGGGAAGTGGCTCAAGCTGAATATCAGCGAGAGGGGATAGGGAGAATTGCAGACCATTCACCTTCACAACTGCAGACTCTTTCATAGATTCTAAGTTCAGGTGTAATTCAGGGAGTTCTCTGTATAACCTGCATTGCCCCTGAAGAGCTTATTTCCAAGTCACACAGGAGACTTGTTCTAGCAGATGAATGACCTGGCCTTTGTTTCTTGCCATACAATCGAGTGATTACAATACCAAGCTTATAAATTGCAGGCATCAGGAGCAGCAAACTCGTACTCCTCATCAGTTGTAGCTGCCATGACCATGTCAAACCTACTTCAGCACTGATGTGAAGTTCAGAAAGGGCTGCTTCTACCTTCATAGTTGGGCACACGATGTCTGAGAGTGTGAAGAGCACCGATGACAGCTGTGTTCCCATGGCACAGCCAAGCTCTACAACTGAAGGAAAAATCATTACCCACACAGACTGCAAGTTCTGGGAGCTGGGAGGAGACTGTGGAGTGAATAAAGACCCTTGTAAACCTTCTTAACTTCAGCGCAGACATAATTTTCAGGAGAAAGCCAAAAATTTAATATGTTTATCTCTTAAAACTCTTTAAATTGTACCAAACATTATATTTCACCATCCTCTCTTTAAGGAAGGAGAACAAATAGAATAGGTCTGGGTTGTGTTGAATCACTGTGGCAGAAGAAAGTGTTCAGTGTGGTGGTGACATGGGTAGAGGATCTCATGCAGAACAGAGCTGTTTGGCTTCCTGCTGCCCTGGGGAAGTTGTGTCCTTAGCGTTCCTCCTTTTTTTGAGCCCACTGCTTTCTGAGGAGATGGAAGGAAGAGCAGGGTGAAGAGAGCATTACCCTACCAGAGGGCTCAGCTGGTTCTCCACTGCATGCAGCTTTGCCTCAGCCTCTCTGGTAAGGAAAGGAGCCAAACAAGACTGTGAAAGAGCTTGTGGGGAGAAATGAAGTCACTAGGGGAGAAGGGAGATGATGTAAGAACATCCATCGCCCACACATCCTTCTGTGTACCCACACGCTCCCCATACCTACTTACGCACTCTGGGGTTGCTGCATGGAGGGTGGGCAGCTCAGGGAGGCTGCCAGCTCTTGCATGGGTGGTTGGCTTAGATTTTGCTTGCTTTCCTCAGTGCCGTTTATTCCTACCCCAAGGACAGCCCTCCAGGAGAAAAACACAGCTTGATGTTACTGATTGCATGCTTAAGAAAGCGGAGAAACGTTCCACTCCAACACCTTCCCCAGAAGATCCAGTGGATCGTATCAGTTTCTAGGATACAAGGTTCTGCTTTTACAAGGCCTCCATATCTCCCTTTTTTTTTTTTTTTCTGGACCGCTCCTTCCATTTGTTAATGTTGTGGGTTCTTGCACTCTTAAACTGTATATTGCCTACAGATTTAGTACCTGCATTGTGCTCCTTCCTTCAAATCACTCTTGAAACCATCCAGCAGTACTGGAGCAGAACAGACTCCTTTGGAGAACCCTTGAGGTTTCCCTTTTGAGAAAGGGCCTCTGGTTACTCAGAGCAGTTTTACAGATGGTTTCACAGCCACCTGTTTCATCTAGTCCAGGGGAAAATTGCTGAAATTTCATTCTCAGTTATCAATTGTGATTATGAAAGGTGACATCTTCTAATGTTAAGATTTCAGAAGACAGGCTGCTTATCTCCCTTTTATCATAATGTTGGCATTGCTGTAAACTGTTTTTTTTTAAATATTCCAGTCTAAGTGCATCTTTGATGTGCCCTCTGAAGCAAGTCTCTGGACATATTGTGACTTTCTGAGTTGACTGGGATGCTCGTTTGAGTTCTTCCCTTGGCTGGTGATGAGACTTGGTGAGCAGTAGGCTCTGCCAGCCTGCAGAATATACCACTCCTTCTGCAAGGGCTACTTAAAAAATAAGACATATTAATGTTATAAGAACACAATTTTATCTTGAAAAAAAAATAGGGTGAGCCTTTATTATGCTTATTAATTGCTTTTCTCCACACTAATAAAGTGGGATAGTAAGGGCTAGCCATGAAGATAAAGAAATGGATGGACTCCAAAATCCATTGTGATGAAAGCACATACATTTAAAAGACTTATAGCCACCCTCCACAGGCTGATGCTAGTTATAGACCATGTTGGCCTAAATGAAAGTTGCCTTTGATCTTGTAAAAATAAAAGTAAACATCAAAAACAGTCTTGCAGTACTGTATGTGGGGCTGATCTCATGGGTGCAGGCTGGCTGGCAGTGAAGAGTGGGTGACACTGTGGGACTCTCACCTGAAGGTCCCAGGTCAGCCCAGCCAGCTCAGGGCAGAACCACCCGGGCTGTGCTGGGTGGAGTAAAGCTGCTGGTTCAACGTTCTCTGCCACCGGCAAGTCCCAGTGGTGCAGAAAGAGGAGCTTGTGTGCTGGTGGCTTGTGTTTGTCCTGGGGAAGGTGTGGTGCTTGTGGTGTTGAACTGGGATGGGCGATAGCTGGGTTTTGCCCTGCACAGGGTCGTGTTCAGTGATTTCCATCATTCAAACATGCTGCTGCAGGTTTTAGAGGACTTGATTCAGCTTAGTTTAATTACACAGTAATCCATGCTGCTTCTAGATGTCGATACTGGAAAAGCCATATCCAGCAATCAGGGCAGTGAATTACGTTGTTCTGTCTTTTACGAAGACTGTTTTTGTTACTGTCAAAGTCTGTAGAAAAAGGGGACATGAAACTCCTTCTGATATATAGCAAAGGACAGTTGAACTCAAATGAGTAACACCTTGATCCTGTAACAGATGTCGTTGCAGTGTGCGAGAGGGAGGAACGCGTTACGTGCCACTCCTGTCATTTCTGTTCTAACCTTGTAATTCCTGTCAAGCAGCCAAACCTCATTCAGATGACTGGGGTGGACTGACATCTCAATGTTTTCATGAGGATACAGTTCGTGTCTGCATAGACTTTTTTCTTTCTGAGTCAAACTCAGTTTGATTTGTCCCCTTAGGAGCCCTATTATGTCCGTTGCATTAAGCCCAATGATAAGAAGTCACCACAGCTTTTTGACGAGGAGCGTTGCAGGCATCAGGTTGAATACCTTGGCCTCTTGGAGAACGTGAGAGTCCGCCGAGCAGGCTTTGCCTACCGCCAAACGTACGAGAAGTTTCTTCACAGGTAAGAAGGGTGCTGGCAAGTGACTCGGTGTGATTCTGTGGTTCAGCTCAGATGTTGGAATGAGGGGTGTGATTTGGCTGTCTCCCCTTGAGTGAAGAGTCTTAAGGCTCTGGGCCTGTGTGATCCTCACTCTTGAGCATATGGGTGTGTTGTGTTTGGTTTAATATCTGCTCTTGGGTATGATAAAGCATGAGTCTAGCAGGGACTCTGGTTGCTCTCATTTTGTGGCAGCAGATGTGTTTAGAGGTGTGTATGTGGCACTCAGGCTCAACTTCTTTTCTGCTAAAATTCATTTGCTGTATTACTCTCCACAGCAGGAATGTGTAATGAGGTTCTTCCCCAGAGCATAACCCTAAACCCAGAGCTAATTAACTTCTGTTTTCTCTCTGAACGTTAATTGTTGCAGTGAGAGAGCCAGACAGACATTGTGTGTCTTGGGAAGCGCTCGATGGCGCACAGTGACATTATGCAGGAGGAAACCTCTGGACTTTAAAGCTGGAAGCCTGAAACGGGGATAGTAACGTGACCCCGTTAAAATGTGGTTTTGATACTTCTTGCTCTCTTAATTCCTACCAGACTTACGACAAATGAAATGGTTTAGATTGAAATTTGTCTTATGGCTTCAGTAAATTAGCATGGGTACTAAGAATTCAACCCCTTGCTGATGACATAGTGAATTGATTCTCACTTCTGTTATTGTATCAGGTGAGAAAATGGCTGTGAGGGTAGAAAAAAATGCAACTCTTCAGGCAGGTGGGATGTCACGCGTTAGAAGTGAAGTGCTGTTGAAAGATCTTTTGCTGTTCATGGTGGAGATTTGCCTGGATGTTTTGTGATACCTGAAGTGGAACGAAAGTGTCTGGCTTACTAAATACAGCCTACAGTGCTGTGTATCAGTTTTCTTAAACATTATGGAGGGGTTAGAGCTTGCTTTTTTTTTCCGTCACATGTGGAATTCATTACAATTTACTCCTAAGATTTGGCTAATTAGTATTAATATAAACATCTGCTTTGTTTTAAATGAATGTTTGATGAGCTCCTGTAAGCTTAAGACCAGAAGTGGTGTTTACAGCCAGTAAACCAAATTAACACATGGCAACTGGTACAGCTTTCAGGCTATTGGAACATTTGTTCTGCTGGGCCCTGGAGTAAGATTAAACATCTACAGTGTAAGGTGTCAGCCACTGTATTTGCATATTACGGTATTGCTCTGAGTCCAGTGTACACTGACTTTTCTAAGTTTAAAAAAAAATAAAAATCTTCAGGCCTGGATATTGTTTTTATTTTTCCCAAAATTCTTTGTCCTTCACTTTGGGTGAGACATACCCTCTTACAGGGGCTGGGGGATATGATTTGTGGTACATGTTGCACATTTTTTGAGTGTTTTTTGAACAGGGATCACAAGGGATTTCTGTTCCTTTATATTTAACAGGCTTATTGGGAGACTGGGAATGTGGAGGAGACGCCAAGCCCTTCAGCACTGCACATGGGGCACGTGTTAAGACAGATGTAGAGTGGCTCAGCAAGAGGCGATCTTGGGATGTAACTTGGTTATCTGTTTGCTTACATTTGCAAAAGATATTCTAAAATTCCAGTCTCACAAACCGATGTTGAACTCCCTTACAGGGCCCTGAAGCTCTCAGATTTTCTGAGCCCAAAACCTGTGTTTTGTTTTGCTGGGTTTTATTGGAAGGGACAGGAGTTGTATATCAGGATATATAGAGATAAGAGATACATATATATAAACATGTGTATGTCTGCATTGTCTGCATGTATGCTTTTTTAAATATATGTGTAAGTATGTGTGTGTGTGTGTGTGTGTGTATATATATATATATATATAAACATATAAAAAAAAACTTTCTGTAGGAGAGGAGTTTCTTGCTACTTAGTCCTAAAAACCTGTAAGGTAGTTGATCTCATATCTACCAGTAGGAAATGAAGTGAAGCACAGTTAAGACCATCAGTAAATGAAATTAAGAAAACTTGTTTGATCTCTGTGCAAACCATTCTGCCCTTACTGATTTGTAGAAAGTGGAATCTAAATATGTTTTTGTTGGACCAAGAGATGTTGCGCATTCAGTTAGTTACTACATCTTCCAGTTGTGTGAAATGCATGTCAGGACCACGTATCTTATATAGATGCGATGCATTATTTTGTTTTAATATGTAATTTACTATTAAAAAGCCGATTGGGTTTCAGAAATTGGTATGTGTGTGGGGCAGGGGGAAGAGCGGCGCCTGGGAGGCATCTGCAGGCATGGCCCCACGTGAGCGTAACCCAACACTCTCGCCAGGAAGGAATCCACATGCCTATTTCCAGGCGATGTTAAACATAGCATGGAAAGACCCCAGGATAGCTGTGAACTGCACAGTGGTAAGAGAAGAGTATGACCCAGCTTCCTGTGCAGACCTGATATTTTTCATTAAAGCGTCATAATTTAGAGGCTGACAAAAATCTTCGTTCTTAGGAGTGCTGGACCGGGAGTTGTGGACTCTAGAAGCAACCTCATGCATGCCGGGTGTTTCTATAGCTAAGTACCGAGAAGAAGAAGGAGAGGCGAAGTTGGTGTAGAAATGGATGTTTAATATATAAATGACCTTGAAAGCTGTCAAGATCTCTAGGCAGGAGAAGGGGAAGGGTTGTGGTGTCAGTGAGCAGATTTATTTTGGGTTCTGCCTCGCTATAATTAGCAGCGAGATTGGGATTTTGACTGGCTCTGGCATCCAGGTCGTGTTCTCTGCTGTGGGGAAGGAGTTGGTGGCATTGCACTGCACGTGCCGTGAAGGAACAAAAGGACTACCATGGTATTCCACCACCGGTCCCTCCACCTGTGGGCTAGGAGGGACGGGGTCCATTTGCCTCAGGATGTCTTTAAATACCATAGCCCTGGGTTTGTTGTAAAGCAGAAAGAGAATTTAACATTTCTTAGGGGCAGGATTTCAGTTCTCTGACATCTTACCCCTTTTTTTCTGGCCCCATCGGCAGAGCAGGCCTGTTTAACGTGTGGGTTTGCACTGCCACTCTGCTTGGTTGGGGTGTTGTTTTTGGTTTTTTTAATGTAAATGTCTCAAGGGGGAAGATTTTCCCAGTGAATTAATTATTGCGGGAACATTTTCCTGATGAGACTAGGAAAGAGAAACCAGTGTAAAATATTTATGTTCTGTGTGTACGTGTATTTGAGAGAAGGAATGCTTTTGCCAGCCAAATATAAATGCAAAATCTTCTGTCGTGAGTCTGAGGAAGGTTTTTTTAATATGCCTGTTTTATTTATCAGTAAGATCCCTAGTCTGCATCCCTGGTGCTGATGGTGTTCCCTGCTCAGACACAGTGTGCGTCTCCATTTTTTTCCCCTCTTCAACAGCTTATTCAGAAAGGCTAATTTGATGAATGAAAGCAAGTGTGATGTATTTCCGTTCAGGCTTATTTCAGTCTGTTCAATAACTCCTGCAGTGCACCCACTCCCCAGTAAAAAGGTTTATTGCTGCGTCCATTCAATAGTAGCTGAAAATTCTGAACGTCTAAAACATTGAGATTGATGCTTGACTTGCATTGTGGGCTTTTAAATAAAGAAAGGTTAAGATTGCTGCATGCTTGTTTTATTTAGAACATGAATGTGGGTACTATTACAGTGAAAATGTCTATTAAATTTTTGATTATGTTTATAAATCTTATGCAGAAAATTCATTGTTGCTTTTTGCAAACATTTATTCACCTAATCAGCACTTTGCAAGGCTGGTAAATCTTAGAGAGCAGAGTCTGATGCAGTTACTTTCGTGTTTGATTTGTAGTTGTCTGCATTCTCTGTCTTAGTGTAAAAAGGTGCTTGGAGGGCGAGGATGGGAGGAAATGATTGAACAAAAATTACAGGCAGTGGTGGTGTTTGCACAAATTGTGGCAGTCAACTCTCTGCTACTTTGGTAAATAATAGAATTTGTTAGAAATGACTACCAAAGTGATGAACAAGAAAAATTATTTGCAGGATATTTAAACCTAGGTTTTCTGACAAAACAATTGATTACAGTTGGCTTCTTATGCAGAATGCGAGCAAACCAAAGCTTTTCTTCCATGCAAAAAAAAAAAAATTAGATTGGATGCTGAAAGTGTGACTAATGGAACAGCCAAATCTGCAGGAAGACTATGGTGAGGTTTGTTGTTTTGCATCAGTTCAGTGTTGATCAAGTGAGCTCTTCACAGTATTTTCAGTGTCTCACAAAATCATGCCTCTTACATTCATTTGCCTTGGATTTCAAGGGTCACCATTGCCACAGAGGATGTCTGAAGGATCTTCTATCTATAATCAGTTTTATTAGAATTTAGGTCCTAATTATTCCTAGAACGTGTGGAAGATTGGCTGCCTTGAGAACCTAGATGACAAGTTTACATTTGTAAATTGTAACTTGTAATTCCAGGTACAAGATGATCTCAGAATTCACTTGGCCAAACCATGACCTCCCTTCAGACAAAGACGCTGTGAGGAAGCTCATAGAGTGTCACGGATTTCAGCACGACGTTGCTTATGGCAAGACCAAGATTTTCATCCGCACGCCTCGAACTCTGTTCACCTTGGAGGATCTGCATGCCAAGATGCTTGTGAGGATTGTCCTCTTCCTACAGAAGGTAAGGCTTTGTTTACTGCATTAAAACCTGAGTTCAAATTTCTTAAAACGCCTTTTCTCCCTTTTAAGGCTCACTTGCAAAAGTGACAAGTCTGCACAAATTCTAGAATAATTTGGTTTGATTACTGCTTAATTTTTTTAAAGCTCTTTCAGTAGTGCTCTGTGTTGCTGCACTGAAGTCTTGATGTGGTGTCATGTACTGTGAGCTGTAGGACCTATAAGATTGTTGGCTACTTGGAAACTTAAACTTTTATGGATGAATGCATAAGGGTGATGCACAACAGATGTTGAGACAAGCTTACATGAATAAAAGTTTATTAGTGGATGCATAGCTGATGGCATACCTCAGTGCTAATGGTAAAACTCTTGGGGGTGCAGGTTAAGGAGTAAGAATGGACGACAGAATGAGACAAGGAAGACTTTCCCCAGAGGCCAGCTAGGAAGAGAAGGGACAGGATTTCTAAAGGAGCATCCTCCCAAAGTGTCCTTTCTGGTGCAGCATGTTGTCTCCCTCATCATACTATTTCCATTAATAATTATTGAGTTTTTATCAGGACCTGTGGGAAATCCCTGTTGTTTTTTCTTATGATACTGTTAGTGCTGAGTGGAGCAGACAATGACTGGGGGCAGATGCTGGTGCCTGTTGCTTTATTAAGCTTTGAGCATCCATGTTACTGAGTCCCCTAATGCAAAACAAAAAATACTGCTGGGGGATACAAAAAGAAGGGGTGATTTGCACACTAGTGGCAATCACTTCCCATAAGAACCTGCCATACAGTGCAATATTGGGGTTTGCAGGTGCAAGCCTGGGAGAGTGACAGCACAGGAACAAGGGCAAACACTGCTGCAGAGGCTCTGGAAACCGCTGCCCCAGCAGCTGGGGTGAAGGGATAACAGAGGGAGAGGCAGTGTACAGAAAAAAAATAGAAGACCCCTGGCATTGCACCTAAGGGACTGTGCAGCAGGACCTGCACACTTGCCTTTCCTCTCTGAACATGGCATTTGAGCTCAAGATCCTTCTGGTTTTACCCTTAGGATAAATTATTTTACAATCTGTGACTTCAGGGCAAACAGGTTCTCAGACTTGGCTTACACGGGTACTTTTCTAAGCCATGGGAGTTTGTTCTGACTAAAGCTTCTAAATATTTAGGTGCTTTTGGGGCCACAACACCACAACAGAAGCTTGTTTTAGTAACCTCAGAACCAACATACACTGGAGAAGAAAAAATACAGGAGCTGGTTTTAGTATTTGCTGAAAACTGTGTTCTGTATGAGTGTGATCTGTCCAGCAAAGAGCTGACTTGCACAGCCACAGAAATAGTGGAACTGACTTTGTCCTGACAGCAATTGTTGACTAGGTCAAGATTTTTAGAAATGTATTTTATTTTTGGAACTCAGGAAACAACAGAACTTCTGAAACCCTTTTTGCCCATCAGAAATAGAAACTACTGACAGATGGGTATGAAAACTTCAGCAGAGAAAAAGCTTGCTCTAAAGCTATGCAGTTACCGTAAGTTTGCACAAACTTTCTAAACCTGATGGACTGAATCACTTTTGGTGAAGGGTAAGACCCTGAAGGAAAAGTTCTCCACTGCAAGCTTTGTTCTGCAGACCACTCACATTTCTTGTGTTGATTTGATGTGATTTGCTTTCTGGAAAGTAAAACAATTTGACCAGTATGGAAGAAGAAAGTGTCAAATCCAGGGTTGTGTCTCGGTATTTTTTTTGTGCTGGATTGCACAGTTAAGAATTTTGTAAGTTTTGTATATATGTATGTGTTTAGTATTTCTGGAAATACAAAGCTCAGGCTGCCTAAAGGGTGCAGGACCTTTCTGAGCTCTGTGGTTCAGTGTTTTCTTTCCTTTTTTTAGCAGTGTTCTGCTGAGCATCACAGCACCTTTCTTGGACTGTTTGTCATCATCTTCCAGGTCTCTTGCTTGCAAATGGCAGTGTACTTCCCTAAAAACTTACTCTAGCTTACTCTTTCAGAGTGAAATGGGGCTAATCTGTGGGGCCCCTCATACACCTCTGTTAGTTTTTTCTGGATTAGTTGCACTTCCACTGTGCTCACTCTGGTTTTTCAGGAGGAGTTCCCCTGTCTGCAGCCCCTTTCCCAAGCATGTTGGTCTTACTTGGTCTATTCAGCAAGTTCACTGGGTCATGCCATTAGTCTGGAGTCTCTCATTCTTCCTGTAGTGGTATGAGGCAAGCTAATAAATTCTTTGTTGAATAAAGCTGTAGGGGTGCACCTTGCTCCCAGGTAACCCCAGTTTTCATATTAAATGTCTAAGGAATTGAGATGTGACCTTTTTTGAAATGGAAAGGTTCAGTTACTGAAGAATAAATGAGCCAGCCTGTCTGTGCTGTGGAAATAGATGATGTCTCGCTACAAGGTGAGCACTGAAGCTCCTCCTTCAGATAAAATCCACCAGTGTGAGGCACAATTTTGACAGCAACATGTCAGGTTTTGTGAGTTTGCTGGCCTTTGCTTTAGCTGGAAACTTCAAAATTACATAGTCTGGGCTGTGATCTGAACCGGGCTTAACAACCTTGGAGGAGAGCGGACTAGAGATTTTCTGCCTCTAAAGCGTAAGTACCTGGTTAGGAGTAATGGATCAACTTTCTGGCTCTGTGAGGGATTTTGCTGTAGTGGTTTTGTCATCGGATGTGCTGGATTATATACAGAATAACTAGTGCTTTTGGAGTTTCTCTTGTTGTGACAGTCAGCAAAAGTGGCAAAAGTTACATTGCTGGTGCACGTTGTCTTGTGGCTTCACAAACCTCCCTCCCATATTTTCTCCTTTACCTGGAGTGGAGAGGGACTAATACAAGTCTACATGGAGGCATCTTTCTCTTCTGCGCAAGGTAATGAAATAGGACAGGTGGAATCATCTTTTTGTTATTTCTCTCTGAGAAATCTCTAGTGAGATTCTAGTTTACCTCATAAAAGATTTGTGGGGAAAAGTCAAGCTCCTCCTCAAGTGCCCAAGGTACTGAAGACCTTGAGGAAAACTGGATGGCCAGAGCTCCTTCTCTGTAGCTTAACCCTGCTGTGGTTCACCTACATCTCTGTTTATACTTATTGAATGTTCTTCAACCAGGCCCTAAAATGTTTGCAGAGTGGTGGGGAGGAGCTTTTTTAGAGTCCTGGAACTTGCAACTAAAGACAAGAATCACTAATGAATCAGTAAATGCTTACTAGACAGCTCATCACCAAAAGAGCAGGTGTTGGGTTGATGTGTATAGGTATGTAATTAGATACCTTGTACAGGGTTAAATATATCTGGAAAATGCTTGTTTTACTGTTAGCTCTATATCAGATCACTCCTGTGTTCATGCACCAGCCATGCTCTGCTGCCAGTAGATGGGGCAGTTGGAGACTGGCAGTGCTGAAAAAGGAACAATCAACACAACAAAAAATAAAATCAGAGTAAGGATCTGAAGAGGCCTTCTCTATGCTCTGGAAACATCAAGGCAGTTTTGCCTGCATCTTAATTTCTGTTCTCAACTTGCTTCCAGTTGTTCATTAAAAACTTGCACAAAAATATAATTCTTGCTCCTTTTTCCTTACTGTCTGTAAGCATCAAAGGCTGAGTAAGGCAAACTGTGATTATATCTAAACGGAAAAAAGAGAGATTAGCTTGATTTAAAAACAAAATAATAATTGAGCCTTCTGTTGCATTGGAGTTCCTCAAATTTGAATTTAGATATAGACAACTGGAGATAAAATGTGGTGTTGTGACAATAGGCACTTGTGTGATAAAAACTGAAGGGAAAATGAAAGGTGTAGATTTAAAAGCAGCCGATCGCAGGCTGGGGTCCAATAACGTTTTTCTTTACAGAGGATTGATTTTAAATGAAAGAAGAATCTGCATTTAGCCGTTCTGTTTCTTGGTAGTTTTAAATTTACATCTTCATTTCTAGTGATATATATTATGTGGTTTATTGCTCTCGTGCAAATCGCAAGACTTTCAAAAAGAGATTCGGTAATTATCTTAAGAGCTTCATTGTGTGAGTAACCCTTAACCCTTAAAGTAATGCTGGTTCCTTTGTTTAATGACAGTAAGAATTTGCTGCTTATGAGTTCGGTTAAATTGAATTAAAACTGACTTCCAGTTTAAGTAGATAATTTTACTTTCTTTTGTCCTATACCTCCTGGATGTCTTCTACTTTAGATTTATCTTCAATGCTCCTTTTTTCTTCTGTGATAAAATGCCACTGAGATTCCAGGCTGTAATTTTACTTCAGACCAAACCAAGTCAGTAAGCAGATAGGATGTGATTTAACTGTGACAACTTACTGGCTCTGGGAGAATTTAGCAAGTGAGAGCTGTGTCCGGTGTTAGAAAACGCATATGGCAGTGGAGACATCGCTGTCGGAGTCAACTCGAATGGTCATTTTAGAAGCAGCAGCTGAGAACAGCACTGCTTTTTATGTGGTGGTGCGTTTGAGTTTATTTACTATACCTGTGGTCTTGCCATCTATATGATTGTCTTCATGAATGCAAATGGAGCAGCCCTAATGTTAATAATAAAAATAAAAAATACAATAAAAAAAAAAGAGCTGCCATAAAACTCTGTTGCTTTTTCTGCCCTTGGAAATGTTCCCACATATTCATTAGCTTTGCAGAATAGTGCTTTGTTCAAGAAAAAAAAGCCCAGCCAGCCAGCACGTGCAGTATGCAAAGATGATGTATCTTGTCAATATAATTTAGTGCGCTATTTCAGGATAATTTTTTCAGACCAGTACAGCTGCATATGGTAATCGCTTCACTAAATCTTTACTGCCTAATGCAGAGGAAGAGAGAATTGTCCTTGCATCGCAGCCCAGCACCTCCTCGGACAAAACCCCCTGTGCACAGAAGCCCTCTCAGCCCGGGAGGTCGGTGTTGCTGGAGGGAGGCCGCACTGGCCCACGCTGTGCCCTGGGTAGCCCACGCCGTGCCATGGGTAGCCCAACACGGCCTTGTGGCACAGCCGAGCGGCCTCTCCATGCCCGTCC